CTCCTTTCATTTTTGTGAAAACATCAATTACATTTACAAATCTCAGAAGCCAAGCCCACCAGTGGAACAAAAATAACTTCTTTCAGTATGCTTCAAAAAATCTAATCACATTTAACAACTGAAATTTATTTACAACTGTAATTTGAAACATTAATTATGATAATACACTGACTCCTTTTGTAAGGTGGTGCTCAGAAGCCTAGCTGTTTTCCTTTTGGTCTTGCTAACTAACATATGTTTTATGATTTGGAGAAACTGTCCACTATTTTTTTAGTCTGCCTAGGAAGAACATTCCTTTTTCCCCATTCTGTATTTTTTATTCTTCTTTGCCTCTCTCCTCCCCTACCCCCACATACTTGTCTTTCTCACTGTCTTAATTTAAGGGACAGATTTTAGTGCTTACAGTGTAGTCTTGATACCTTGAAGACTGAACGTAGTGTTGAATATTGGATACAGTATAAGCGGTTGCAGTGGAGACTTACCACACACTATGATTCCAGTGTCCTTCAACAATGTCAGGCTAGGGAAGAGGGTATTTACATTCTTATCTTACCTTGCTACTGTGCCATGGTAGGCAACTTTTGGACACAAATAGAAATTGATTTTAGCTTGTAGATTCCAGTCCAAAGGCCACTGAACTTATTTTCTGTGCGAGTAGATAGTTTCTGAGTTAACTAGAGTTTGACTACTTTGAACTATGGTGAAGTACTTGCTTTCTTTTAATCTAACTTTGCAAATCCCAAAGCATATAAACAGACCTTACACACGAGTAGTCCTCTTTTAAATCAAAGGGACTACTCAAATGAGTACAATTTGAAAAATCTGGTCATGAGCTATGAAAACACACAGATTCATTTCAGGTACCCGGCTAGGCTTTGAAAGAATTTAAAAGAATAGAGACAGAATTGCTGTTGTTCTTTTAAAAATTATATTCTTATCTGTAATGAGTGTGATGGGGAAATTAGCCAAAAAAATGGAAATGTTATCAGTATATGAAATGATCTTTAATAGCCCTTGCAAGGGGACAAAAGGGTAGTACAATAAGTGACAGCACTCTAATGAGGCTGCAGGGCATTCCAGGAAAAAAAAAGGAATTAAGTCCTTTAATTCTTTTTCAGCTTGCCATTTTCTGACAGCTTATCAAGTGGTCAGTACTTGTTTGTTTTGGCATACAGTTCATTCATTGTAGGCAGCCGGCACTTTGTTCTTCTTTGCAGTTTCCAAAACTTGATTGTGTTTATCCTAGACTGTGGGAAAAGTGTATATTCCTGTTTCCTTTAAATTTCATACAAAACCTGACGTTTACTTTTATAATTTCCCATATTTTCCATTCCATTAATCATTATTGTTGAAATATGTCAGGTCTTGGCACATCCTCCTTTGTTTTCATACGATTGTACAGATTGCAGTGTCAGTATATGACCTGTTAGTTGAAAAATAAGCATGTTTAGGCTCTGGTACCTAATAGTACATTGAAATCTAGCTGCAGAATATATCACATTAAGCCAAAAAGGGAAGGGATTTAACTTGCTGCTACTGAAATGGTTTGCAAGGATTTCTTATTCTTATGTAGCAGGGTGGGGGGGGAGCATTTTGTTACTTCATAGTTATTATCTTCTAAAATGTAGAAGTCCTGAATGTCACTTACAAATGTTTTATATCAATCCTTGTAAAATATTGTATATACTTCACATGAAATGGCATATCCTACATGTATTTATCTCTCTTAAAATATAAAGATTATTTGTTTGTTTATATAAAAAGCTCTTAAAATTAAGTCTAGGCATACAGTCAGTGGATAGCTATGAAAGAAAGGTACAGTAGGATGAGTCAGTAGTGGTACAATTTCTGTTTAAGCTGAAAGTAGTTACCCGGACTTTTCTCATATTATAAACAAGAGATAGGTGGACCTATTTCCTTAGTAATTGTGAAATTAACTTAAGTGAAAGGGTTACTGTTCATGGAAATGTTTTAAAAGTATATTGTAAAATATAATTGCTGTCTAACATATCTCTGTGCCACATATATTTTACATGTGCAGTAATCTTTTTGCAGTGAAGGAGGAAGAGACTCCCAAGAAGCAATAATGCTTTGTATCTTTCCCAAATTGAGATGATAGATAATATGAATTTTGTACAGACATTACAGCTAGTTTGGGGGGTTAGATCAGGTTGAAAATATCCCCCTAATTTAACTCAATAATGAGCTAGGTGCTGGCAGCTTGATTTAAGGTAAGGCAGTGTAGGAGGAGGGGTGCGTGGGATGGGGGGGCTTTAGGGGGATTGGAGGACTAGTGGGGTACACAAAGGGGTTGGGGGAGTCAGGGAGGATATTAGGATCCACGGGGAGGTATTGGGGGAATTGGAGGGCTAGCAGGTTCTTGGGGGTGGAGGGGGCTGGCTGGATTTTGGGGGCTGGTGTAATCAGAGAGAGACTCTAATCTCACCAAACCCTCCAGCTTCCCCATCTCCTCTCTCCAGTGCCACAGAACTGCCTCAATCCTGCAAACCACTTCTAGGGCCAGTTTTTCTGGTGTTAACCAGTCCTGGGAGCCCAACTGAAGTAGGTTAAGATGGGAGAGGGTTGGGCAGATTCAGGGGGCTGGCAGCTTTGTGGCAGGGGCCTTAGCAGGATTAGGGGGAATGGTGGTATGTGGAGGGGATTAGCAGCATCAGGGGCTCTTTCCCCCACAAGCAGTGGCTATTCTTAGCCCCCTGACACCTCCCCCCTGCACTCCCAGATGAATAAGCCCCCTGACAAAGCCAACCTCCTGAACCTGCCCACACCTTCTTCCACAGGAACTTATTTCCACCAGTTCTTGGCTCTAGTGAATACCAGTAAAGCCAACACTAGGAGTAGTGTGCAGGATTTGGGGAGGCTGGCAGGCTTGAGGGGGATGGCTGGTCCTCAAGTGGTTCATCTGGAGTTGGGGGAGGCTGGTTCATCTGAGGTTGGGGGAGGTGCTAGCGAGCAAAAAATAGATGATTGTGGGGGTAGGGGAGGGAGGGAGGAGGCAAAAAAAAGTTCAGCCCTGGGGCTGGGACCACTGTCTGGGCTTTCCCAGCCCCAGAGTTACACTCTGAAAGTGTACAGAAGTTCACTTAGATCATAGAATCATAGAAGTAGGGTCGAAAGGGACCTTGTAGATCTTCAGGTCTGACCCCCCTCCTGGGCGGGAGAAAAAAAAAATGGACTCAAATGAGTCCAGCCAGGTAGGCATCAAGCCTCTTCTTAAAGACCCCCAGGGTAGG